AGGTCAGGGAACATGTTAATCACTCAATAAACAGTACCTATTATTATCTTTGTAATTCTCTGCTGAGTTAGAAATTTTCTCACTTAGATTCTTCTTGACCTGAAAAAAATGCCTGGAATTTAATGGAAATTGAACTGTTTTCTACATATGTGAAACTGACTCATTTCCAGGCGGTCTTATTTCAACCAAATAGGCAAGCCTAGAACCGTCTCCACTTTCCATAACTGGTTCTAAATAATAACTGTATACTACTAATTAATAACCATATACTATTAGGTCATAATATTTGTAAATTTAATGATTAATACAATCAGGAATGAAAAACAATATATCATCTCCATAGAGATGGAAAAGACATGCAAGAGATTTCAACATCCATTCTTGCTTATTTTTTAAAGCCAGATACTTCAATAATATGATAATGAATATTATGTCCAACCTAAAACCCATATAATTTTTTTAAAATATATTTTTATTGACTGCAGAAAGAAAGGGAGAGAGAGTTAGAAACATGAATGGTGAGAGAGAATCACTGATCGGCAGCCTCATGCACATCCCCCACTGCGGATCGAACCCGAAACCCAGGCATGTGCCCTGACCGGGAACATGTGCCCCTCGTTCATAGGTCGATGCTCAACCAATGAGCCATGCCCGGCCAGGCCCATATAATTTTTAATAAGTACCACAAGCTTCTCAGTAAAGTCAGATAAAGATAAGGATATGCTTTATCATAATAGTTACTTAATTTCTCCATATAGCAGCCAGTGTAATTAAATAGGACAAAGAAAAGTGTAAAAAAAATAAATAACTAAATCTATCATAATTTTCAAGTAATATGGTTTACTTGGAAATCTAAAAAAAATCAACTGAAAAATTATTCCAAATGGCAGGAGAAACCAGCACAAATTAACCCAATAAATACAAAGGACTCCAACAAACAAGTATCTATTAAGAAAATATCCTATTTGAAATAGCAACAATAAAATACCTAGAAATAAACAAATGTGCAAAATTAATAACTAAAGAAAAAGAGTGAGGGTACTAACTCTTTAATGATATGGAAAGTATATATTAAAATATATTTAAAAATATTAAGTGAAAAAAAGAATGCTGCAATTAAGTATGCTACTATTCATGTAAAAAAAAAATCTAGCCCTACCTTGTTTGGCTCGGTGGATGGAGCATCAGCCTGTGGACTGAAGGGTCCCTGATTCGATTTCAGTCAGGGGGCACATGCCTGGGTTGCGGGCTCGATCCCGAGTATAGGGCGTGCAGGAGGCAGCCCATCAATGACCCTCTCTCATCATTGATGTTTCTATGTCTCTCTCCCTCTCTCATCCTCTCTGAAATCAATAAAAATATATTTTAAAAAAAATCTAGATACAGACCTTACACACTTCACAGAAAGTAACTCAAAATGGATCATAGACCTGATGTAAAACATAAAACACCTGATTTAAAAACAAGCAAAAGCGCTCTAGCCAGTTTGGCTCAGGGGATAGAGCGTTATCCTGAGGACTGAAGAGTCCTGGTTCAATTTCAGTCAAGGGGAGCCCGAGCTGTTATATGGCTCTTGCATTTTTTGAAAAGCAGTAGCTTAAATTGTAGTAAATTAAGAATGCAGCCCGAGCTGATATGGCTCAATGGATAGAGAGTCAACCTGCTGACTGAAGGGTCCTGGGTTCGATTCCAGTGAAGGGGACATGCCTGGGTTTGCTGGCTTGACCCCCAGCAGGGGGCATGCAGAAGGCAGCCCATCAGTGATGTTTCTCTCTCGTCGATGTCTCTCTCTCGTCGATGTGTCTAACTCACCCGCTCCCTTTCTCTCTCTCTAAAATCAATAAAAACATATTTTTAAAAATCAATTATCTAGAGAGCACTCTTAAAATTAAATAAACAGCAAAACTAAAAATACAGAATAAATTTTATGTCTAGATATTTACCCAAGAGAAAGAAATGAAAAGACCTTAACAAGAATGTTCATAGCCCAGCTGATGTGGCTCGGTGGTTGAGCAACGACCTGTGAACCAGGAGGTCACAATTAGATTCCCAGGCAAGGCACATGCCCCGGTTGCTGGCTCGATTCCCCATTTGGGGGTGTGCAGCAGGCAGCCAATATATGATTCTCTCGTTAAAGTT